ATATATATTTTAAATGCTGCTATTTATATGAAAGGAGGCAAGGTCAGAGAGAGGCACCTTGTGCTGAGGTCCTGGTGCAAGGCGATGAGGTTTCTGATGGTCCGTCGTTGCTGAGGGAGTTCCTTGCAGCCTGGGACCAGCTCCAGAGAAAGTATGGCCTTTGCTGTAGTCTTTATCGTGGCAGGCTTATAGATGGCGTGAACCTAGGCTATAGAGACTGAGATCGTAAACTTGATGAGAAAGCCAGCAGGTCACCAATGCAAAGGGCAGGTTTGCCCTGCTCACAATAGTCTGCATTGTGGAGGTGGCTGTGGACTGGTTGGAGCAGCATCAGCACCGAGGGGCCCTGACCAGCTCCGCGGTACTGTGGTCATCCAGCTGAGAGGTGATGAAGGCCTGAGTAATGGCAGTCAGTCACTGTTGAGCAGGATGGGATGGAGTTGCCCAGCCAACTGGAGGGGATAGAAAGCATGCCTCACGGATGCTGATATGTGAAAGCATGGTGTCAGCAAAGCAGCCAAAAGTATTCATAATGGACTGAATTAGCCAGTTGCAGGTGCGCGCATTTACCCGAAAGAAACCCAGGACCTCTTCAAAAAGTTTTGCCTGCCACCGCCAGCAAGATTTGGCACCAGCCCATTACCCCTCTGATCTCCCATTCATTCAGAGGGTATTTAGAGATGAAGGACAGCCAGCTCTCCAAGTCTAATGGATGCATTTAACCCTATCTCCCTTCATGGGTGAGGGTCCAGGACCTGGACAGGGAACCCTTGGGTAAGGGAAGGTGCCAGCCTAGCTAGCTACGCCCTGCCCATTATGTGCATGTTGTGCTCTATGCCTCCAAGGCTTCAGAGCTGGAAGGGCAGAGATTTGCCTCCTCGGAGATGATGCATCTCCAGATGGCCTTGTCTTCATTTTATATCTTCCTTTTTTTTTTTTTTTTTTTTTTTTTTTTGATTAAACCCAAATAGTAGGACCACATTTTTTAAAACAAAATTGTCTGAGGGACAGAATCCTTAAAGAGATCGTGGACATTGTGAGTAATACTGTTTACATAAAGTTGTGGTTTCTTTGAAAAAAAAAAATCTGAGGTTTCCTTAGTCATGAATCATTTCCACAACTGGATACGAGCTGATAGGCATTTAAAAAAAAAACAAAAAAAAAAAAAAA